CCCTCTTCAGTTTCTGAAAACTCTGAACCGGAACCAGAAGAACCAGGAGCATCAGACTATGCCGGGAGTCCATTTTTAGTAGCTAACTTAAGCTCTTGGTCCTTAGCAATTTCGGCATCAAAGTTGATGATAACAACTTTGGCCTTCTCCAAGGTTATTCTCCTCATGCTGTACATGGCATAAGTATTTTCAACAACGAGGGAAGCCGCTCGACGCTTAAGTTCTTCTTTGAGTTGGGTAACCTCGGCATAAAGGCTTTCCCGGGCGGACCTAGCAGATTTGAGGCTGGCGTCAAGGTCGTGGACAATTGAACTAAAGAGCCTATTATGCTCGATAGTTTTCTTGTACTTCTCTTCTAGCTGGGCATGTTTTGCCCCCACAGTAACAAGCTCTTCGAGTTTGGAGTTCAAGGCTGCTTCTAAGTTAGTTACTTTTTTGGCAGTAGTAGCCTCGCGCTCGGTTGCATCCTGGACTTCAACCTATTTGGCCTTAGCTTCATCAAAACTAACCTTCAGTGGACAATTTCTTGGCTAAGGTTTACCACCTCTTGCTCGCTTTGCTGCAAGCGAGTTTCCAAAACAACGGCCTCAGTAGCTTTGGTTTCCAGTTCCGAGAGGCGGAGAACAGTTTGGGCTCATTCCACCAAAAGTTGATTCCGTTCTAAAGTAATTTCTTCATTTTCACGAATCAACCTTTGAAGGCCCTCAGAAGCAAGAAAGTTGGACTATAAAACAAGAAGTAAAACTTAGAATACAATCATACAAAAGTAGAAGAAGTAATGAAGGAAGAAAAGAACGTACCGTTGCGACGTTATGCATGGCATTGTTCAACAAGTACTTTGACTGAATCTTTTCCCAATCTTTTTCTGAAGCCAAAGGCTTCAGATAATTTGCAAGATCCACCGGCCGGGATAGCAAGTTGCATCCGGTAGAGACCGAAATAGTAACGTTCCTCCTCCTTTGTGGATCTTCATAAGTGGCACCATAATTTTGCCACAAAATCCCATGAACTGGGGACTGTGGAGGGGGAACACCTTCTTCAGGGTCAGACGCGGCCGATGGAGGTAATGTAACAACTATTGGTGGAAGAGTGGATAGAGATGGAAATGATGTAGCAGTTGCTGGTGTTGGTGAAGGCGAAGGTGGAGATAAAGCTGGTGGAGTTATATAGTGAGAAGCAGTTGCATCAAATGCAATGTTGGTTGTTGGATGCTCTCCATCCAAAGACGGCAAGGACCCGGTACTCAGCCCTGCAACACATGTTACAACAATTGGGGCTCGAAAATGGGAGTTGGCACTTTCAACCAAATCGAATTACCCCCAAAGTGCCGAGACATCATCTTCAGTTGGTGTAACTATCTCAACAGGTCGAGCATCATGTTGAGATGACGAGGATCGTTGCCTTCTATGTAGAGAAGATCCCTCATCACTAGCTTATTCATCATCGTCAAGCATCACGGTATCTATGACCGCCCAGGAAGAAGGACTTATCATCATCGCCACCAGAGATGGCTCGGGGGCATCAGTCTTTGCCCTTTTATTCTTCTCCCCGGCCACGGAGGAATGTCTTCTCTTTGGTTGCTTATCCTCCGGCCGGGGGCTCCGTAAAGAAGTGTTTGCGCCCGAAACAAGCCCAGAGATACCTGTTCGAGTAAGTTCTTCCTGAAGCAGCCTCGTCGCATCAGCAGGATCAGCCAAAACGTCCTCATCGGGGATAACAACAGAGCCCGCAGGCAGACCTAATTTCGTGAACAAGTCAGAAGGGTTCAACCAAGTTCTCCATATACAAAAAAATAGAAGCAAGGTAAATTAAAATTACCATGATTTTGGCCTTCCATCCGCATTTCAGGGCCAGTTCTTTCCACAAATAAGTTTCGAGTGTCGTGACGTCCAAGATCTTTTGAACCCACCGGTCCAAAACCTTCAACCACAGGTGAGAGCCATCGAGTTGCTGAAATATGTGAAGGGTGAAGAGTTGATACAGCCATAAAATAATATCTAGTAAAAAGAAATACTAAACAAAGAGCTTATGAGTGCGGTTCCAAGCGATTGGAAAGATGAAGCCGTGTCGGGATGATGTCGCTGGTGGCGACGACCGTAACGAACCGTTGCATCCACCCACGGTCGTTGTCATCATCCATGCTAGACAGCAAAGCATGGTGGTCACTCTTGCAGAGGTTTATCATTCCCCCGCGGAAGATTTTGTGAGAATAGAGATTCATCATATGGGCTAAGGTTAGCTCCTCTCCAATTTCCTGGCACAAGCGTCGAAGTCAGGCGACTGTCCTCCACACTAAATGACTTACCTGTGCCAAACACACCCAAGGAAAATGCACCCAAAGTAAAGGGATACGTGTAAAAGTATGTAAAACCTTTCTTGGGAAGGGTCACTCGCTTCGATAGATCAGGAGCAATAATATCCAACTCATGGCAGCGATAGTCTTCCTTCATAACAGGAATACTGGAAGGACGAATGGAAGAAGGGTACCTACTAACAACCCATGTACGAGGGTTAGCAGTAGGGAATTTCTCTTCAAGATCCTTTGTGGTTCTGAGTTTTCTTGGGATGATAGAATCCACCTTTGGAGGAGCAAAGTCCTCGACTTTGTTCTTGTTCTTTGAAGAACCAACACGCCTGGAGGGAAAAGTCATTGAAAAAAAAGAAGGAAAAGGTTTTGTGTTTGAAGAGAATTAGAGAAAGGATAGAAAACAAAGATGAAAATCAGAAGCTCGAGAAATTATGAAACGCAAAGGAAAAAAATGTCGTGTATAAGTAAAATTTTGGCTGCTAAATTCGTAGCCATGATTACCTTGATAATCAACAAAATTTGTGCTGAATCATGGGATGACACGTGTTTGGGATATTAAATGCGGAGAGACGTGCATCTAATCAACTGTCAGGAACCTTTAGAGGGAGTTATAGTAATTCCCGCCAAAAAGTTATTTCTACCAACTTTCTGGTGACACAAAGTTATGTTATTGGAAAGCAGGGGGACTATCTGTATAGAGTGAAATATTATATGACACATATCGTCTAAAGGGAGGACACGTGGAATCCAAGATGGGGATGGCCGAAGATCGAACGCAGTCATTCCGCTGGTCACTGGAAAGGATAACATTTATAAATGTATGTTAAATGCTCTACGCCCGGTAGCATTTAATAGGGAATATTCTACAGTATTAAGAGCGACGATCCGTTACAGAGAATTTGGCATTTATGTGCACCGTTACATCTTCGTCAATGACCCTCATAATTGACATTAAAGGAGGACACGATCCTAGGACCTCCTTCCCTAGACATAACTATAAATAGTGAGTTCAGTTATCATTGTAAAGTAGACGAATTTTCTTGCTAAACTAATACTACATTCTATATAAAGCTTAATACAGTATTACTTTCCTGCTTTTTTATCTCATCACCGTTGTGCCCGGAGACCTTGTTCCCGAAACTGTCATCTATGTTATTTCATCTATATTTCAAGGTTAAGTATTGTACATTTCTTCAATTATTACATTATTTCAAGATCAAATTAGTTCACTTGTATAGAAACCACGTATAAATTCAACTGTACCGTTTTATGGGTAAATAATTGTATAATTTGGGTTGTTTATTTAATTAAGTAATTATTTGGTGAGCATGAAATTAGATGCAATTGAGGTGAAACATTAAAATCTCTAATTTTTCAAAAGGGCAAAAAATTAACAATAATTATATTGTGTAATTACCATATGACTTTCAAATTAAAAAAATCAAATATTGTTCTTTTTTAAAAAAATTCCTTGAGAGTTTGTGTGAATGTGAGGCTCAATTTTTTATTAGGCGTAAGCCTAGAAGACTGCCCGTTTGAATTGACTTTAAAAAATGGCTTTTAAGCACAAACACTTAAAAATAACTTTTAAGTGTTGGAGCTTATTTTATAAATAAGCAGTTACCTGTTTGAATAAAAGTGTTGAACCTTAAAAAAAAAGGTGTTGAAGTGGTAAACAAGTGCTGGTAAACACTTTTTTCTGTTAAAAAGACAAAAATATCCTTAAAGCTATTAACGTTATAAAGGAGCTGATTACTACAATATATTTAATTCTGAATTAATGCAAATAAAAAATAATTTATATTTTAATTTAATTTCAATTTAATTCCTTAGATAATTTTTATAAATATAATTCTTGAATGCTCATTTTCACCACTTTCAATCAAGTAAACTTGCATAAAAGTCTCAACCTATTTTTAGCTCCATTGAAAGTAGAAGGAAGCTCATTATGTCATTAGCTCCTCTTCTTGGAAGGACAGTAGAAGCCGATCCAGTATGCAACCTTAATTCCATTTGTAATTGTAATGTTGCTGATAGAATAAAATGTTGTAATGCTCCTTTCATTTTATGCCAAATTTTATGCAAGAAAACGATTTTTCTATCTTCCTCTGGGGTATTTATTTTTCTGGTATGATAACCATTGACTTATATGCGGACAAATACATAGAAAAAATTTCTCTATGTGAAACTTAAAAGAATCTTATTTTTGAGGAAGAAATTTCTCTCTCAGAAGAACTTACAACGAGGATTGATTTCAACCCTGCTTGAGAAAAAATGCAGAAAAATGAAGATGAAAGAAGAAGAGGGACTGTCTTCGGAAGTGAAGGAAATAGGAGAAGTACCATGTTTTAGGGTTTCTTTAACCGAGTAATTTTGGTATTATGAAAACTTATAATGGACAAGAAAGTAATTTTATTGATCAAACTAAAATGACTTTTAAGTCAAAATCGGAAAAGTTGGGGTTAGCCAACTTGTTGCTTTTGACTTTTTTAAAGCAATTTTTTTTTTGACAAACACTCTAAAAAATAAAAAATACTTAAAAGGTAGTTTTATTTTAAGCCAATCCAAACACCCTCTTAATTAAAACAAAGTTTCTTAAGTCCTTAATTAAAGTCAAAATACTTTAATATAAAAAAATAAGTTAAAAAGTCAAAATTGTCAAAGCTTTTTTTAAGCCCTAACTTTTTGTACTCTCTCGTCTTCTAACCAAACTGAAACGAACAGCTTCTCCTCAAACTACCAAAGCAAAAAAAAACCGTCTCCTCTATCATTCTCTTTGGGTCGACGGCTTCTGAAGCAGGTTTCTTCGTCCTTTGTGATTCTTTTTAAGTTCCTTTATTTCTTTTGATGCTTTTCAATTTAGTTTAAAGCTTTATACTTAATATTTTCCTTTTCAAGTTCCTTGCTTCTGTTTCTCTTTTAAAGTTTAATAAGATGTGGTTAATGGGTGCCTGTATATATGCTGGTTTTCGTTAGGGGAAAGTGGGTGCTCTGTTTTTATTATTCTCTTATTTGAGTAATTTTTATTTCTGGGTTTGCATGGTGATGGAGGGGAAAAAACGATTTTTTTTTACTTTGTGTTTGTATTCCTTTGGTAGCAAGTAGCAACGAGTATTTTGCTGAAGCTGGTATATTTCTGCAAACTTCAGGAAAAATTAAATAGCGGTGCTGAAATATCCTAATTCTGCAAATCACGTAGTGTAAAATTGGGAATTTTTGGCGAATAGCCACCTTCTAGAGTGCTGATCGTCGAATAGCCAGCGTTTGCAAAGTTTTAGAAGCATTGTCACAATCGCTCAAACTTCAGAAAAAATTCATGGAGTTCCGTTCAAAACCACATGGAAAAAATCCTGGACTTTTGAACTCAAGTGCAGGAAAAACAGGAGAAAAAAAAATCCTGGAGGTCCACTCCAGAACAAATCATGTTTTTCCTGGAGTTTAGTTCAAAAGTCCGACATTTTTTCCTGGAATGCAGTTCAAAATCCCAGGGAAAAGTGACTATTCGTTGACTGCCACTGGCCACTGCCAAAAATAAAAACCCGGCCTATATTTCATTGTACAATTGCCTATCAAAAAGGCCTGACCTGACCCTCTAATTGTCCAACCCCTTTCCACTCGCAACTTAAGTCGGAGCTAGCAGCCTAAAGACCCTGATTTTTTTTATCTGAGATACACTATAAGTTATTGTTGTTTAATTGAGTGGACATCTTGGTCTGAAGTCTGTGTTATAAAAGGTATTTTTGAACTATTCTAGTTTATTGTAAATGTTGGATTTCTTTATACCTCGTTGGATTTGCTGTGGGTGAACTATAATAATTAGCTCTCCTTGATACCTTATCAGTGATCATGTATTTTATCTGTTCTTTTAGTTTTTTTCTGAAATTTTTACCAGCAAAGCTTCCTCATCTCCAAAGATACCGAAACATTAAGGAATATCCACTTTTTTCCCCTATATGGTCCACTATAAGTTATAGAAGCTTGTCTGAATGGTCATCTTGGTCTGGACCCTGAGTTTATAAAAAGCTACCTTCGAATGTTCTTAGTAATTTTGGTACTTAGACCTCTTGGATGGTTATGAATTTTGTAGTGGATGAAGTAATAATTAGCTCCTCGACGTGCTATTGATATCATTCTTCTAAGTCGATGGATTGTTGACGAAACAACCATGTTTAATATATTCACTAATGACACTAAGATTTGTCAGGCATTTCACTCACTTTTGACTCTGATTCAACATTCAAGTGTACCAAAAGTACTTGGGACTGTCAAATCCCTGCATGTAGAAGATTATTAATTTACTATTACAAATAAAGCATTCGCATCCACCTTCGTGCCCATTGAATTAATTTGCAATGTCTTTATTTTTTAAAAAGTCATCATACGTGGAATTATTTGCTAAAAAGGCATATCGTATAAGATCAAAATTAGAATACTAGGTGACTTTCTACAAATTTTCACAAAATGATATATTTTCTTAGTTGATTCAGGTCTCCGAGCATGGTATATTGCGGTAATTGTGCAGAGAACATAAGTCGACCCGACTATGTGGATGGCAAAATGTGAGAGCTTTGTTCTTTCTTCTACACTATAATACTCTCGTTCATTTTATTTTATATATGTTGTTCATTAGTTATAAGATGCTTCATTTGGTTATATATGTTTCATTCTATGATCTTTCTTTTTCGTTACATTATAGATGTTGTCCCTTATGTGGAAGAGTTCTTGATGAAGATAATTTTTCATGTGAGCCCACGTTTGTTAAGAATGCTGCCGGACTGGTTAGTTCTTTATTTCATATTCTTCTTCATGCATATTAGATTGCTATATCTTAGACAATTTTGTTTTTCTTCAAATTCAATCCTATCTAGTTTGAATGGATTTATACCCCGTCTAGTTTGGACGGTGTGCTTAATCTGGCTTTGTGCTATTTTTATTACTCTTTGTCAAAAGGAGTTTTTAAGGTGCACTGCAAGAAGTGGTTAGAATTTTAATAAAATTTCATAAAAAGGTGTGGCACATCGGTCAATAAACTGGGTGAAAAACATGGTAGACCAGAAAACACTCAGTATTTTCCCCATCGTCCTAAGACTTGGTGGGTGGAGTTTTTGGTATATGTGCTGCTGGTGGGAGGTAATAGGTGTTAGTTTACAGCATGTATATATTGTAGTATTGTCCCACATTGGTAGAAGAGTAGTATGTTCTTGTATAGTCTAGCTATAAATAAGGACCTCTTGTATTGTATTGTATTATATTGTATTGTATTGTATTGTTCATTCAATATCAATAACATATTTTCTCCCGTGCCTTCTCACATGGTATCAGAGCAATTGTGAGAGACTTATCGCTGTGTATAAATTCCAGCGATTCCGGGAAAGAAAAATCGCTGTGCATAAATTCCAGCGATTCCGGGAAAGAGAAATCAATACTTTTTTAAGGTTGTTTTCTATCTGCTTCATTTCTGTCAGTGTTGTGCATAATCCAACACTACCACAAGAGTCGTCACTGTCCAACGACCAAACCCCAGTGAAAAACTCCGGCAGCAGCCTCCTCACGCGCCTCCACACGCCACCAGAAGCTTACACGCCGGCGCGTACGACCACTTCCAGCCTTTTTTTGAAAATTTTCCTTCAGAACAGTTGGGTCGCCTGGTAATTCCGATCCTACCCCTACTGTTTTCATTTCATTCCGACAACTTTGAGTTTTTTCCGGCAGCTAAAGTACTATTCTGACACCTACAGTAGATTCCGACAGCTACAATATTTCAGAATTCTGTTTCTGTGTTTCCGTACACTGTTTCAGTGGATTAAAGTTGATTCTTTCTCCTGTTTGGTAATAATTTGCAACAATGTCTTTGGGATTTGATGCTTTTGGGTTTAGAAACATGAGTTCTGGAAGCTCTAGTGCTATTATTACCTCGGAACCTTTAATGGGAGGTTCAAACTACTTAGCTTGGGCTTCATCTGTCGAGTTATGGTGTAGAGGTCAAGGTGTTCAAGATCATCTAATCAAACAGTCTAGCGATGGAGATGAAAAGGCAATAGCACTTTGGGCAAAAATCGATGCTCAGTTATGTAGCATCTTGTGGCCATCTATTGATTTCAAGTTGATGCCCTTGTTTCGTCCATTCCAGACATGTTATTTGGTTTGGGCAAAGGCACACACCTTATACACTAATGACATATCTCGCTTCTATGATGTGATATCACGGATGACAAATTTAAAGAAGCAGGAATTGGATATGTCTACTTACTTGGGTCAAGAACAGGCAGTCATGGAAGAATTTGAGAAGTTGATGCCAGTTTCTGCTAGTGTGGAAAAACAACAAGAGCAGCGATAGAAGATGTTTCTCGTTTTTACCCTCGCTGGACTTCCTAATGATCTTGATTCAGTACGCGACCAGATTTTGGCTAGTCTGTCTGTCCCGACAGTTGATGAATTATTCTCTCGATTACTCTGCCTTGCTGCAGCACCGAGTCCACCAGTGATCTCATCACAGATACTTGATTCCTCTGTTCTTGCATCCCAGACAATGGATGTTCGGGCATCTCAAACTATGGAGCATAGACGAGGAGGAGGTCGTTTTGGAAGATCTAGACCCAAGTGTTCTTATTGTCACAAACTTGGACACACTCGTGAAATGTGCTATTCCTTACATGGTCGTCCACCCAAAAATGCTTACATTGCTCAGACCGAGACTCCAGGTAACCAAGGATTTTCTTTATNNNCCCTAGATTCCGTTCTTTATGTCCCTGGCTGTCCTTTTAGTCTTGCATTTGTTAGTCGTTTGACTCGTACCCTCCATTGTGGTATATATTTTATTGGCGATTCTTTTATTATGCAAGACCGCAGTACGGGACAGACAATTGGCACGGGACGTGAATCAGAAGGCCTTTACTACCTTAACTCACTCAGTCCTTCCACAACATGTCTAGTTACAGATTCTCCAGATCTAATTCACACACGTTTAGGACATCCGAGTTTATCTAAACTTCAGAAGATGGTGCCTAGTTTATCTAGTTTGTCTACATTAGATTGTGAGTCGTGTCAACTTGGGAAACATACCCGAGCCTCCTTTTCGCGTAGTGTTGAGAGTTATGCAGAGTCTGTCTTCTCCTTAGTTCATTCTGATATATGGGGTCCTAGTAGAGTCAATTTATCTTTGGGATTTCGGTATTTTGTCAGTTTCATTGATGATTATTCAAGATGTACTTGGCTTTTCTTAATGAAAGATCGTTCTGAGTTATTTTCTATATTCCAGAGTTTCTGTGCTGAAATCAAAAACCAATTTGGTGTTTCTATTCGCATTTTTCGCAGTGATAATGCCTTAGAATATTTATCTTCTCAATTTCAGCAGTTTATGACTTCTCAAGTAATTATTCATCAGACATCTTGTCCTTATACTCCTCAGCATGAGGTTGCTGAGAGAAAGAATAGGCACCTTATTGAGACTGCTCGCACACTTCTAATTGAATCTCGTGTTCCGTTGCGTTTTTGGGGCGATGCAGTTCTCACAGCTTGTTATTTGATTAATCGGATGCCTTCATCTCCCATCAAGAATCAGATTCCGCATTCAGTATTGTTTCCCCAGTCACCCTTATACTCTCTTCCACCTCGTGTTTTTGGGAGCACGTGTTTTGTTCATAACTTAGCCCCTGGGAAAGATAAGTTAGCTCCCCGTGCTCTCAAGTGTGTCTTCCTTGGTTATTCTCGTGTTCGGAAGGGATATCGTTGTTATTCTCCAGATCTTCGTAGGTACCTTATGTCAGCTGACGTCACATTATTTGAGTCTAAACCTTTCTTTACCTCTGCTGACCACCATGATATATCTGAGGTCTTACCTATACCGACCTTTGAGGAGTTTACTATAGCTCCTCCTCCACCTTCGACCACAGAGGTTTCATCCATACCAACCGTTGAGGAGTCTAATGTTGTTCCCCCTAGTTCCCCAGCCACAGGAACACCACTCTTGACTTATCAACGTCGTTTGCGTCTTCCATCAGGCCCAACTGGTTCT